TGACGTTTCAAAATTAAAAAGTTAATATTTATTAATAATTATTGTAATTATGAACCCAAACTGTCATAAAATACATTGCCCACCGTTGTGGAGATATGAGAAATTTATGCCACTGCGAATTTTTTTCCACCATTTTTAAATCTATGCGTGTACTATGCTCCACACCTCAAAGTCCCACCACGTGACTACTTACTGAACGTAGTCTTCAGGTTTCAGGTTATGTATCTGTCAAAGTATAGTCAACGAAAAAAATAATGTCTAGGCCTTAAAAATGTATAATCTTTATTACATTACAATAATAATGGTTGGTTTAAGAATTTAGTAATATAAATACTGCATTTAATGAAATTTTAAAGTGTATGGTGCCAAATAAGTAATATTTTTGTGCATTTGGTCCAAATATCTGGTGTTCTCCATAAAATAATTTTAACTAAACAGCATTTATTAAAAAAAATCTAGATTCTCTATTATAGAATAAGTATATCTGTATTAAAGGTAGGTATATTATAACAAAAATATCATCTAATTTTGTAATTTTAAGGTTAGAAAAATTTATTTTGACCAAAATAAGTAAGTATTTTTGATTATTTGAAAGACTGTATAATATGGTATTTAAAAATGTGGTAGTTTTTTTAAACCAGTTTAAAGTGTACATACATAAAGTTTTGTCAATACAAATAGTTAATAAAGCTTCGACTGCATTTGATCTACCTACCTCTTATTCCATAATAGAGAAGCTAGATTTTTTTAATAAATGCGGTTTAGTTAAAACTATTTTATGGAGAAATGTAGACCCAATGCACAAAAATATCACTTATTTGGCACCATAGAATTTCATTAAATGCAGTATTTATATTCCTAAATTCTTAAACCAAACATTGTTATTGTGATACCATAAAGATCTATTAATTTTTAACGCCATAAGCGGTAACAATATAAATATTATTTCTTTCATTGACTATACATTGACAGATACATAACCTGAAAGGCCTTAAATGCCAAATTTTCAAAAGACTGCTTTCCGTACGTGGTCACGTGGTGGGACTTTAAGGTGTGGAGCATAGTACGTGCTTTTAGTTACTTTTAGCAGTTTCCAATTAACCGCAACATTAATTTTGATGTGCAGTTTTCAATTAAATTTAGGGCATTTTTATTCGAGACGCACGCACACCTACACATGCACATCTTAATTTTTACGCATGGCGTAGCATGGATGTTGCAGAACACGCACACAACGACGTGACTTCATGCTCTCCTAATACTTAGGGGCGCACAGTGTTTCAATTCTCAAAATTTTCGGCAAAATATCAAGGAGTAGTCGGATTCTCCTAAAAATCCGTATATAGAGGTTTTTGGGGTCGCTGATAACGAATCTGGAATCAGAATTCCAAAATTCAAAATGGTAGATCCAAAATGGCGGACATATTTGTAAAAAAATTTACGGAATTAATTGAAAATCACCATACAGGGGTTTTTGTGGTCGCTGATAATGAATATGGAATCAGAATTCCATAATTCAAAATGGTAGACCTCAAATGGCGGACATGTTTATCAAATATTCTCGAAATTAATTAAAAATCAGTAAGAGGTTCTTTTTAAAATGTAATAAAACATCTTTTTATAAAATAGCCTAATTTAGTTTATTATAATTACATTTATATGACATTATTTAATACCTACATATATATTAAACAATCTTCGTCACTGGATTCGCTCGTTGTATCATTAGCAGATCATGGGAAACCATCAGAAGATAGCAACAGTTTTATTGCTTCGCGGGAAAAAGATTTGCTCTTTTTCGGAGCAATTTTTTTGAAGCTAGAAATATACGGATCGGAAGATGCCATAAGCCAATGGAAATCATCTTCCATCGTTTTCTCCCGAGAAACTTTCAATATTTATTTATAGAATTTAAAGATAACAGATTTTATACCAAGTATTTTAAATTTGTATTATTTCTTTTACTTATTATTTTAGCAACGATTTGTTAATTCGCTAAAAAAATTGTCAACACAAATAACCACAATTCAAATTTGACATTAACACACTACAATGCGCATGCGGGGTTGTTTTAACGCACCTACAAGAGGTGGGTTAAATATGTAAAATCGGTGTTAAATATCTTAGTAGTCACGAACGATTTACGCAAGTGAAAGTCTAGACACCGCTGTTGTAATAAACGTTTTGAGTTAAATCGAGTAAACGTCATGAACGCAACCCAGAAATAAAAAAAATCTTATATTTTGTAAAGCAAAAACAGATACGCGCTCGACATACGCTTAAAATCGGGGGTTTTTTTACCACAACCGTGCCTGAGCGCCCAAGAACATGTAGTTTTAAAGAGCCGGGGGCAAGTTGGGGCAGCTAATTTATTGATGGCTTGATAGACAAAACTCTAAGCTATTCAACGGATCTTGAACTAATGCCTTACAATTCATTACAATTTTTGTAGCTCCATTGTTCTAAAAGCTCGATTCAAAGTTTGCGATTTTAACAGACCGACCTTGTCGGTTACAATATCCCGTTGTACAAGCAAAATCTACGAAACCAAATACATATCTGAATTTTAGATACTTTGAAGATCACCCTTCATCAAACCGCATAACAATCGGACACACCAAACACAAGTTATTCACTTTTAAACAATAAACAATTTTCCGCAGCGATCGCGTGTAAAGTACCATCAACTGAAAGCGTCAAGTTTAAACTGATGTACAAGACAAAATATACGTATTTTATATATATTTTTTTTTAATACAGGATGGAGACAGGTATTAACCACCCGTCTAACTCAAAATTTACCTGAAAAAAAAATGTAAATTTTTGAGGTTTTGCCGATATTTTCCAGAATTGAAACACTGTGGGGCGTATAAAAGCATGTCATGAAATATGCATAAATTACTTGAGGCGGTGTTAAGCTGTGACGTCACTCGTCTCCTAAAAATTTACTCCAAGCTCGTCAAAAAAAGTATATTCTCAAAATTATATAAATTATTTAAAAATAGTTTTTTTAGTCCAGTGTTATCATTTTATCTTGTATTGGCACTGATTTTTGACTATTAAGATCTATTTAAGGGTATTATTAAAATGTAAAAGTTCAATCATTTGAGAAATTTTTTGACGAAGCCTGTTTTACGGTAAGGCTGTGAAATTATGAAGTAAATTTAAATTCCTAGTGTAGTTTTTATCGTAATTGCATTATGATAATACCCCACGCACAATTTATTTATATTAGGATTTGTAAATCAAATTTTCAAAATGCCTTTTAGTTAATTTTAGGAAATATTTTATATACATATATTTCTTATATTGTTTAGCATATTTATCTACTCATCTATACTTACCTACTTACGCACATGATATTTATTTAATATTAAAAAAAATATGAGATAAAAAGTATTTATACATAAAAAGGGCTATTTTAATTTATTAAGGATCCCCTTTTGAAGATAAAAATGGTTTAAAAAGTATTTTTTAGGTTATTTTGTCAAAAGGAAACAAGTATGAGGCTCCGTTTGTGTGACTTATTTTTCTTTAGAAATAATTAATGCTTTATTAACCAAATTATTTTTTTATAAAATTATTTTTTAATAAAATTATTTTTTTATTAATTGTTTTCATTGTTATTTTTTTAATAATTTTTTTTTATCAAAATATTTTGTTATTAAATTAATTTTTTTTTATCAAATTATTTCTTTATTAAATTATTTTTATTTCAAATTATTTTTTTATTAAATTATTTTTATGCGAAAAAAAAAATTATGGATTCGTCAACCTTTCATGAAAACAACTATGCCAGGATAAAAGAAGAAAGGGATATAGCAGCTCTCTACAGTACAGAAGCAAGAAATTATTAATAAAATGCTCCCGTCGTCTTTTATCAAATAGATTTTCAGTCATAAATAATTTTTGATTCGGATATTATTTAATTAATTATTTAATTAATGTATTATTATAATTAATTATTTGTAAAGCAAAATATGTTTATTTTGCACTTTTAATTTTGGAACAAACGGCGCCTTAAAAAAGCAACAAAAAGTTTGAAATATACAATTTTGATTTAAAATAAATAATTTTTCATTTAATATTATAAAAACATACCTACTTGTCATAATTTTTTTCATTATAATCTTTTAATTATTTAAAAAATGTTGACATAAAAATTAAATACAGACAAACTTAACAAGAAAATAATTATATTATTCTATTTTAAAACCTTCAAAAGGGCTTCTAACCTTTTTAAAAGCAGGATAAATATTTTTTATAAAAATAAATTGTAGATTAAACATGTAACATTGTTAAATGTTCTATATAGTCGTATAGGAAACCATGTAACTAATTGTGATTTTTCTAGAAAAATAAATAAAAACCACCCTGAGTATCCTTAAATTTATATTTATTATTTACCTTAGAAGCAAAGATTTGGTACAGATCCCGCAAAAATATTTAATTTTGATACACAAAATATTCAATATTTCTTACTAAAAATTTGGCATTTCTTTTAGTTTTAATTTGAGGAGGATAATACAAAAATTATTATTGTCTTTTAAAAAAAATATTAATAAAATTTGGTCTGAGTTTAGAAGGGCTGTTTTTCAAAACTCAGCCGGCAAAGAAATGCCAAAAATAGAGCTACGTGTGGACGATTTTATTCACTAATATTTACAATTTTACACAATATAGTCGACAAAAATTGTATGAATAACACGCAGTTAATTGCCACATTTTGCCAAAGTTATTTTGGCACATATATTTAATTCTCTAAAAAATTAAAATAATCACAGGAAATATAAAAACATCCTATCCTATATTTAAAATTGCGACCAGCGCAATGCATTGAAATGACGATAAAACTAAATAACAAAATTAAAAAATATACAATATGATTTAAATTTACATTCTTCTGACCGTATGCTCAAAGGGTAGTACAAATTTGTTGGCACAATAAGTTGAAAAGTAGTATTGATTGATTACATTATTTAAATGAATCATTTTTAATTTTATTTTCCTTACTTTAATTTATTATACAATCTAATTGTGCTGGGACAACAAATCTTTTCTACCCTTTTTAGAACCTTTTTAACATAAAAATAAATGGTCCTTAGTTTAGGAGATCATTTTTAAACTTTTTAACTAGGAACTAAGTTTAAAATAAATAAATATCATTAAGTAGGTATTAAAGGAATTTTAAGTTACCTCATGAAAATTAAAAAAACCTTTTTGAAAAAATATTTTTAGGAATTTACACAAATAACCAATGTTTTGCTTTAAACCTACTGGCTAACTTATTAGCTCTTATTTCGTCGTGTTCTTCCACTGGTGAAATACAAATAGCAACTCTCTAAAAAAAAATTTATATATTAATTTCAACTATAAAAAGGTATTCCTTTACAGTTGTAGAAAAACAAACTTAAATTCATATTGGAAAAATAAATCAAGGTAACAAAAGGGCAACAATATAAAGTTTTCTGTTTGGTGCAGGGTAGCAAACAACCATGGGCGCCCATATCTATGGGCGCCCCTGGTAAATTAGTTTTCTACTCAAAAATCCAAATTTAATGTACAAATAGTGTATTATTATGCGAGAGATAATGCAGGATGGTTTACATCTCTCACCTAACGGCTCGAGACGCACACCTCATCCTCGTGAATAATGTGTAATAATGTGTAATAATGTGTAATAGTGTAATGCTATGCTTTTTATAATCCAATTAAGTAATTTTTATTAGTTACAAAGATTATGATAACCTCACTTCCTCTCGATCATTGTAGTCGCCCCAATCACTGATGCCTAACAACGTGAATAATGAGTTCATTATTCCCGTTGTTAGGCGGGGCGGTTATAATGGTTACCAGTATATAGGAAAAATTTCAAATAATGTCAATATTATGCAATAAAAGTGAAAACAAAGTTTTGTATTGATTAATATATTTTAATAATGTATTTTATAAGCAAACATTAAAATTTGCATATAAATATTTTTTAATAGAATACTTTAACCAAGGTTTATTGGTAACCCAGACTGCAATGAAGGTTCGAAAATATTCCAGGAATATGCCCTATCATCTAGGAAGAATCCTCTTCATTCTAGGAATATTCATTGGAAATATTCCATAGAATGAGCCTCTAAAACTTTCAAGCACCATCTAAGAACATTTCCAGTGATTAAATTTTTTGACAGTTCTCTGTATTGTTGGGACATTGTTGAGGCATTGTTGTTGAGGGAACCTACAGCGAATTACAGCGATAATTTTTTGAAAATTTTCTCTGGTAGTTGCTATATATAAAAAACAAATTAAATCTTAATTAAATGTTGTTTTATTCATTATGAAATTCTTATTTGTTAACTGTACATTTCGTCTCATGGTGCAATTCTATTGGCCGACATTTGGGACGGAAAAATAATCCCCCGAATACCACACGAGCTTCAAAATTATCTGGCATTTCCCTCAAGGTTCCCTGCAAACAAATAAAGTCGTCAAGTTTTTCAGGAAAAATCACTCGCGCTTCGCGCTCGTGATTTTTTAACCTGAAAAACTTGACTCCTTCATTTGTTTGCAACGAACCTATCGGGAAAAATACCCGATAATTTTGAAGCTCTTGTGGTATTATAAGTGAATATTCTTTATTTTCAAAAAACTATAAATAATTTTTTCTTTCTACAAATTGGTTATCTTCCAGGAATAACCGCTATCATCTAGGAATAACCCGCTTAATTCTAGGAATATTCATTGGGAATATTTCATGGAATGATCCTCTAAAACTTCCAAACACCATCTAAGAACACACAGCTAAACAATGATTAGATTGTGACTGATCTGCTCAGTAAGTTACTGACAGTAACTAATAATGGCTATTTAAGTTAAGTTCCTGGGTATAAGTGACCATAAGGGCTAGGAGTAATCCCCAAATTATATTAAGGTACATTCTCCTAACAATACTTAAGTCTTATGCATGACTGGGTTAACCAAAAAACGGACATTTGGTTACGCCAGAATATTCATGGAAATATTCTGGTACTCTTGGAATAATCCTGGGAATATTCCTGACATGTGCAGGGAATTTGAGTCTGGGAATATGAGTATGGGTCCAAATTAAATTGACACAAATTAAATTATGCACATTCATTAAGTTTTATCCCATCAAAATCAAATAATAAAATAGTTTTTCAGCAAAAATTAATCAAACATTAAAGTGCTGTTTAGTCCAGTCATCTAGGCATTTCACCTCGGAATCTAACGGAATAAGCTGAATTTTTGTACAACCCTTTATTTTAGCATTGCAAATGTTGTCTCAAAAGTCACATATGCCAACGTGTGAGCGGCCTTAGATATTCAAGGTCAAAGGTCGCAAAAATCATTTTTTTAAGAATATCTCGTTTTCTTTGCCTCCTATCGTATTTGCATTTATTATACAAGTTGTAGAGAATAAAATTTTCTAAAAATTTTGTTTAAAACATGTTTTTATACGTCTAATCGTTTTTGAGATAGAGGGCGCAGAGTGTGGAGCGCTCAGCCATACGTACCTTTAGCGCAAGGTAAATCATGAATCCCTCTATTATACCGTTTTTTTAATTAATTATTTATTAAATATTACTTAAATAATAATTTAATACCTTATATTTATTTTTATATATTTTTTTAAAACAAATAGTCAATAAATAGGTATTACTTACTTTTGACATACAAATAATTAAATAAAGAAGTGAATCATTCTAAATATATTCTAATGTTATTCTAATTAATAATAAATGCATTTTAAGAAGAAAATACATTAAATGAATTTGCCTTGAATATGTCTCTGGTCATCTCTTGGATCCAGATATTGCTTTTAAAATAACCTACAGCTTGTTCAGAGTAAAACCGAATATATCTATATATATATATATATATATATATATGGGGCGTGGCCTCGCCTCCCTCCAAGGCGCGTCACAGTAGCTTGTGTGATAAACGACATGACGAAAGGTCGAGCAGGTAAGGACTTAAAAAATTAAATGAAAATAATGCAAAAAATCTCATTAGCGATGCAGGCTATTTGCTTAGCTACTGTATATATATAAATATATTCGGTTTTATTCTGAACGGGCTGTACCTTGAAATACTATAGTGGGCTTGCTATAAATAAAAAGGTTAGGTATACCTATATTTAAAGCAAGTTGTGACCCTAGGTATAGGTCTAGGGTTGTGACAGGTAATATTCGTATTATTTTAAAGGTTAACATGGCTGATTTATGTTTTATTTGTAATAAGTTACTTTCTGAAGGTGATTTTGCGACTTTTGTGCGCGGTATAAAGACTTTAAAAGAAGCAATTATTGAGAGAAATAAACAATGTTTATTTAGGTAGTTTATGTTTATTATACATTAACTACCTAAATACTTTGACTTCTGTAAACGTTCATATTGAGTGTCGAAAATTGTATGCTATAGCATACTACAGTAAAATTGCAGCAGCAAAACGTCGCCTTGAAGAGACTGAACCTTCAACGTCATCAACTGTACTTCGTAAAAAAGGGAATGATGTGTTTGATTTTAAAATATTGTGCTTATTTTGTGGTGAAGTCGCAGATGAGGCAACAAAGGCAAAAAAATCTGCAAAATACAAACGCGTTATAAGTAAGTTTTTGAAGATATGACAATTAATGTCAATGATAACGAGGAGAGTGATGAGAATGGGTCTAAAATTGCTGGGCAACCTGAACAAGACAATGATGAAGAAGATAAAGATTAATAATAATAATAATAATATTTATTTAAATAAAAACATTTTTTCCTACTCCGATCCAATTATCCTTCATTAAAATTAAATTCAAATATAAGATATATGAGTACATTAGATGCAAAACTCGGTTTTTGCATTTATGTTCATAACTGCACTGCCCACAGTATACCTAAGTAAACCAGATGCATAAGTTAATATTTGTAGAATAAAATACATTTATAAACTTACCGCAGCTGCAAAACTGGGTATTTGTTTCTTCCTGTCGGATGCAAAACTCGGTATTTGACCAATTAACTGACGGCATAACAATCACCTGATTAATTGTTATTTTTTTGGTATTTGCACTTTTCACTTGCAAAACTTGGTCTTTGAACGAGGAAGATGCAAAACTATGTTGATTTCAATTATTTACTAAACCACTTAATTTTAAATTACTTTTTTTTACTTTTTTGAATAAGAAATGATGCAAAAGCACGTCTATACGATTTTTGTATTTTTTTTTTTCAAATATGACCTTATGAGCAGTTTTTCGTGTTTTTCTTAAAATCACTTATCCTGCAAATACAGAGTTGTGCATCTAATGTACTCATATATGAGGATAAAATATATTTGATTTAAAATAAATATAAAAATAAGTATAAGGTAATAAATTTTTATTTTAGTAATATTCTTTATATAATTAATTAAAAGACGTTATAATAGATTGGGATTCACGATTTACCTTGCGCTAAAGGTACGTATGGCTGAGCGCTCCACACTCTGCGCCCTCTATCTCAAAAACGGTTCGACGTATAAAAAAATTTTGTAAACAAAATTTGTAGAGAATTTTATTTTCTACAACTTTTATAATAAATGCAAATATTCTCAAAAAACTGATTTTTGCGACCTTTGACCTTGAATATCTAAGGCCGCTCACACGTTGGCATATGTGACTTTTGAGACAACATTTGTAATGCTAAAATAAAGGTTTTCACAAAAATTCAGCTTATTCCGTTAGATTCCGAGGTTGATCCCTTTTTTGACTAAGATGACTGTACTAGTTGTGACTTTTGTCTCGCGCGGTTGTAGCAATTCAACAACTTTTATTTAATTGCGTTAAAATTGCCGTAGTTTGGCTAAAAACATGCGTTTTAAAGGAAATATCTTTATGAATTTACATAATTTATTTTTTTTAGTTTAATTCGTTTAATAAAGTACTTATAAATTACCAATGGTTTTAAACAATTTGATTAAAAAAATGTTTAAAATTTGAATGTTTGCATATCAAAAAAAAAAATTTCAATAATGCACAATATCGCAAAATTTAGATACCCCAAAAAAGTTGGTGGCCCCCTGCAGCAAACTGAACACTTTTATTTTTCCGGCCTGTGTAATAATGGTGTTTGCCCCACTACTTTATGAAAATTCTACTGATTTCGTCATACCTCCTTAAAAGATCCTTTTTGTTTTAACAACTGAAAAATAGCAACAAATGGTATCATCATTATCGAAGAAAGTGCTAAACCCCAGCCAACCCACTCTGCCCAGTCTGGGTACAAATAATCATTATACTTTAAAGGTTCATGGTAAAGTAGACCAAACATGACAACACACTGAAAAAATAATTAAAATAATATTTTTACAAATTTTGTATTTTTATTTATTTACAATAATAAAGGTGGGGCTTATAAATTTCCAGCAAACTCTCCAGTATAAACCTGGTTTCCATCCCAGCATTGCTTCAACATCCTGTGTAAATCTATCTAAACCTGAGAAAAAAAAGGAAAAAAAATATTTAAATAGTTTTTCATTGATTTTTTCTCACCATAAAACCATGACACTGCAATAGCCTCGAATAGAGCTGAACATAGCAGTGATATTCCAGCGGAATAAGTATCAAATAAATTGAACATGTAAATACCGCCCTAAAAAAATAATAAATAAGTATTGAAGTTTTTTTTTTAATTACTAAAATAAAATATCAAAGAAATAAATTTAAAAAATTATTTTTACTTATATTAATAAATCAAAACTTTACTTTTTTAAGTAAATAATTTAGAGAAAGTATAATAAATAAAAAAAATACACGATTTTCTAAAGAAGTTACCGGCGTAACGTTGACAAGGGCGACAGAGAAAGATGCGATAATAATACCAAGGGTAAAAATTTCCCGCGCATATTTCTTTTCCTTGAAGAATGTCGAAAATTCGTCCATTAAACCGGTGATTACGCATTCCAGGCCACCCATCTGAAACAAACAAGAATAAGAAAAACACGTACACAAGATGCACTGCACGTTGTTATAATCATAATTAAGTCAAGGTCTTAAATATAGGTTTTTATAAAGTGTATTTTGTTTACCGCTGAATCCAGTCCAAGCATTATGAGCATAAAGAAAAATAGGACAGACCATAAATGCGAGCCGGGTAATGTTGCCACTGCTTCAGGGTATACCTGGAAAACAAGACCGGGACCTAAAAGTAAATAAAAAGGTGTTAATAAAACATAAAAACATAAAAACATAAAAACATAAAAACATAAAAACATAAAAACATAAAAACATAAAAACATAAAAACATAAAAACATAAAAACATAAAAACATAAAAACATAAAAACATAAAAACATAAAAACATAAAAACATAAAAACATAAAAACATAAAAACATAAAAACATAAAAACATAAAAACATAAAAACATAAAAACATAAAAACATAAAAACATAAAAACATAAAAACATAAAAACATAAAAACATAAAAACATAAAAACATAAAAACATAAAAACATAAAAACATAAAAACATAAAAACATAAAAACATAAAAACATAAAAACATAAAAACATAAAAACATAAAAACATAAAAACATAAAAACATAAAAACATAAAAACATAAAAACATAAAAACATAAAAACATAAAAACATAAAAACATAAAAACATAAAAACATAAAAACATAAAAACATAAAAACATAAAAACATAAAAACATAAAAACATAAAAACATAAAAACATAAAAACATAAAAACATAAAAACATAAAAACATAAAAACATAAAAACATAAAAACATAAAAACATAAAAACATAAAAACATAAAAACATAAAAACATAAAAACATAAAAACATAAAACATAAAAATATAAAAACATAAAAACATATAAACATCCAAACATACAAACATAAAAACATACAAACATAAAAACATACAAACATACAAACATTCAAACATACAAACATACAAAAATACAAACATAAAACATAAAACATAAAACATTAAACCTTAAACATAAAACATAAAATATAAAAAATAAAACATAAAATATAAAACATAAAACATAAATCATAAAACATAAAAGATACAAACATAAAAACATACAAACAAAAACATACAAACAAAAACATACAAACATATGTAATATCATAAAAACATAAAATTAAAAAATACGACATTATGAATTATAGGCAGTTACATAATATATTATAAGGTACAATGTTATAGAACTGATACATTTAACAAAATATAAAACATTTTCAATGTATTTTTAAATTAATCTAAATGCAAAAATTTACCTTCCGTTGCCACCGTACTTATATGAACACCCTGTTTATAAGACATATAACCCAAGTACGTAAATATGACAAATCCAGAGAAAAAACTTGTAAAACAGTTGACTATAGTGGTTATAATGCAATCCCTAAAAAATATTAAAATTAAAATTAATAAAACGTTTTTATAAGTATTTTGTCATGAAACCTGTAGCAATTATTGTGAAAAGTATTGTAGCTTGCATATGATAAGTGCACTCCAAATCCCGCCCCAACTGAGTAAAATATTTGAACTGCAGCATCAACCCAAACCTAAGAACAAATACATACATTGGCAAATAAATAAGATTGGTAAATATAATTTCGTAAAAAGTTTTTATAAAAAGTAAAAAAATAAATAAATACCTACCTAAATAAATAATAAATATTGGCTCACGTGGCAAAACTTTGCTTTGTTTCTCAACATAACATAATACAACCGTTGAGTGAAGAAGTACACCTTAATCAATGATATAACTATTTAATTTTATAAAAATAAAATGTACTTCCTTATTACCGTACTTTTAAAAGAAAACAAATTTTAAAATTGATTGATGAGCATAATTTACATTTTACCTGTGTTTCCTTTAATTTGGAAAGTTCCGGATGCAGATAATAGGATATACCGGAAATGGCTCCGGGCAACATCAATCCCCGGATTAAAAGTATCGTTAGGACCACATAGGGCATTGTTGCAGTAACCCAAACAACTTTTCCTATAAAGGTATATTTATTAAATTATTATTTTAAACAAAATTTCAGTGTCAGTTTGTCAAATGTAAAAATCATAATTTCTTCCTTAAAAATTGACCAACAACCGATATACAGGGTGTTTTACATTCGTGGTCCATTAAAAGTCTACATATTTTTCTAAAATATCTTAAACAAAATGACACGGAAAGTGACATAAACGTTGTTATTTCAAATAGAACACCCCATTTATGTTTACATTTTTAATTTCTGTATAAAATTGTGAGTAAAATTACTATACCTAAAAAATAAATAGTTTTAGAGTAATACATTTTTTTCGTTAAAATTTGACAAATGCGCGTCAATCATACATAGCCTATAACTTTTTTGCTATTATTAGGTTCGCTGATATGGCGGTAGAATTTTTGGAATCTTAAAACATTGTTTAAAATATTCCATATCAATTCTTTAACACTTTTCAACAAATTATCTAAGAAAACCCAGGACAAATAAGGCTAACTTAAAAGGTTAATAATTTTTATATTTTAAACACTCGGTATGTTTTTACATAATAAAATAGTAAATTAAAAAAACTTTTGATTGATGTTACTATTTTCTATACGCAACGTTAATAATTTCAGAGATATTAAACAATTTCTAAAATTTTAAATATTATTTTGTATCAAGAAACCTGTGACGAGTGACTTGACGGTATCTATGGTTACCACGTAATCTGTCATTGTTCAAAATTTAATGGCGTAAATTTTTCATTTATTAATTTAAAACTAAACAAAACCCTAAATTTTAAAACAGTTCTTTTGGTAGGTTGTGTATAACTTACCCGAAGATTTTACTCCTTTAAAAAGCGAAATATACAGCATACTATAAATAAGTACCAAACAAACTACCAATTGCCATTTTGGATAACCCATATCGTGCAATCCATCGCTCCATTGCATCTCCAAAACAGCCCGACTAAAAATAATATACAGTAAGTTAAGCTTTATTTGACCTTTTGGTATAATTATTAGTGTCCAAAAACGCCGCACAAACTTTATATTAATAATTAGTATTATTTGCTTTTTTTATTCAGAATTTGACACATTTGATTAGGTTGGTACTGTTACAGTACTGTTACAGTACTACTGTATAATAAAAATATTTAATTTTAATATTTAAAATTGGTACTCCTGTTCAATGACTTAATTTTGCTTTGACATTTTCATTTTAACAATGCCAAAGATAACAGAACATTCTAAACTAAAATACATTTTAAAAACAAAATGCTCAAAAGGTTGATCATCATTTGGAACTTTTCTCAAAAGGATTGAGAGGGTTCCCAAATCATTATTAATTTTTAAGCAGCATTCAAAATGAGTTATTTTGCAAATAATTTTTTCTACGACCACTATGTAAAAGTCACATTTCGTAATGGCATCGTTGCTTAGAAAATGAATATTTTCATTGGCAAGGCAAAACACGAATGTAAAGTGACATTTCTGTGTGAAAAGTGACAGGTCTGTGTGAGAAGAAATTGACAGCATCGTTTGACATTTGTTTCAAAATTTGTATTGTATTTGTGTATTTATGTCTAAATATCATTAAAAACACAATTAATTGTGTTTGTATAATAAATTCCAATTTTGGTGCCATTATTTAAATTGAGAAGGTAAGTTTATTGATTTTAAGTAACTTATGCCTTAAAAATTAAAAGAATAAGATGAAAGTAATTTTGACAGCTGTCAAACACGTTTTTAGGTTATTTTGTTTTGTATTTGAATATAACAAAAAATAAAAGGGTTGTAGAAAAAACATTGTGTTTCACTTGTGAGAAAAGCTTTCTCGGGCTTACAGCCTCGTGAGCAACTTAAACACTCGCATGAAAAAGTCGCTTTTCAACACTTGTAAAACAAATAACTATTGTTTACCCCAGAAAAAGATTTTGGGGTTTGGTTCCTTTTAGATCAACGTTATCCATATACAAGGTATTTTAATAAATTTATTTATATTTAAAAAACAATTGTATCTATTGATTTGTAAAAAATACTTAAAATAAAATAATAAGCTAAAACAAATTTCTTTGTTTTTTATTTCTTACTGAAAAAACTCCGAGGCGGGAGTGTGCTTGCTGGTCCGGACGGTTTCGTTGACAATCAAACTTGTTATTTTTCTAGTTTCGTTCACACCAGGTAACATGCTCTCCCAGCATTTGTCGGTGTTCCACGTATTGTTGCAATGCATCCAGGGCAGCTCGGCCGCTATGCTCGAAGCCAGAAAATACAGGGCCCATGCTAAAATGATTCATTCATTTTTATATATTTTTTATATTTTGTTGCACTTCTACGACAGAGAAAAAAAGACAGCTTGCTTAAATGAGGTTTTTGGACAAGAAAGGTCCGTTTATAAATATTAAAAATATTTGACAAATTAAAACTTATTTTATTAAATTTGGATGGTTTTGGACAAGGCTAAAGTAAAACTTTTTTTGGACAATTTTGTTTAAATGAGTTAGTCAAAGAGGTCTAATGGTCATATCGAAAAAGCAGCTACCAATAATTCTCTTCAACAGCAATTTGTATACCGAATATTTAGCAGTCAATTTCTATGTGAAATTGTCCGCCGAATCCGGAAATGTCGTCCAAAGTTATAAAAGTAGAACAGTTTTCAAGATAAAGTCAATCTTTAAGATGATATCGAGGTATTATTTTTATCATCTGAAGGGGCAAGAAGCAAAAGGGTACAAGTGCGATAAAATGACTTCTTATGACATTAGTTCTTTAATGACATTTTTGCATGAAAATAAGTTAAGTGCAGAATTGGGTAGTTTAAAGTCCAAATTTAAAAAAAAGTTCATAACGTGAAAATTGTACGAGTTCTGCATGTTAATTAATGCAAACAAAAATATTAAAACAAGTATACAGATTTTCGTAAATAAAAAAACTTTAAAATTTAATACATAACTCCTAACTGCTGCCAAATCAAGAATTAAGGTAATGTTAAAGGTAAAAAATGCGATTCATTGTATTCATAGATTCAAATAAATTATTTTTCAACTCCTATTACGGAATATGACAGTTCTAATATCACTTTTAAGGTGTAATTACATATATTCCTTAAAGTATTACAGAATGAATTATTCTATCACAGTATGATAGATAAAACATATACTTGGGCGTTTCTCTGTAAACTGGGCAACTCATTGTCTCAAGCTAATATTGTTTAGAAAAATAACATAAATATTTCGTAGATAACTTCAAAAGATAATAACCTAATCTACCTATGCTCGACGTTCAAAATCCAATAAAATAAACTTTAATGTATCAAAATCGTTTTTATAGTCCTTAAAAACCAGTCCCCTGACGTGTCACCAAAGCAAAATGGTCACTTCAGACTAAATTAATTAAAGACAGTAACTATTGGAATCAACTTAATTGTTTAATTATTCAACCAATATTGTTTGCTTGTTACTGTGACTTATTTATTTTTTATAATTATTATTTTGTAATTCTAAAAAAGTCATCTAAACTTTGTCTCCGGATTTTATAAACAGTCCCCTGTATAGATTTTTCAGAAAATGCTCAATGTTTTCCAAAGTAATAGGAATATTTTTGGTTCATCTGCCATATACTAATAAATAGACCGATATTTATTCCTCGAATAACATTTATTAAATACAACAAAAATATAACAAAAAAACTTGCCTAGACAATTTCTTACTTCAAGTTGCCCAGTTTACAGAGAAACGCCCACTTAACACTGGTGGCGACATCTCTGTGTTTTTATCTAACAATTTTTAAACCGATCTAACCTCACTTTCTCCCAATTAAATTATTTTTTCATGGTATTTTTTGGAAAGATAGAAAAAGTATAGTTTGAAACATGTTTTGAATTGCATATTCCGCTCTCGTGAAACCGTCAAACTCGCTTTCGGCTCTTGTGACAATCTTTTCACTCGAGCGGAAAACCTATTTTGACGACGCGAGGAAAAATTTTAGATGCGGAGGAAAAAGTCCCTTACTTGATAGAACTTGAAAACAGTTGGATTACCTATTAGATGAACAATTTTTTATTGACCTACAATTTAAAAAAAAATAGGTTTTTTTCTGTTCAAGCACCTTCGAGTGGAGTATTTGGCTGGAAATTTTTGTTATAATCTTTTTCACGACTAGAACAATTTATTGATTTCTTCGACTCGTTTCCAAAACGTTCAAAAGTCCGATATGGCTGATCGAAAAGAAGATCGACATAAATCATTACGTATTGTTCGATCCGGTCCGCAAAAAAGAAATGAATCTTGTGAAAAAGAAAAAACTCTGAGCAAGTGCTTGCAAAAACGCCAAAAATAGAAAGTTATTTCTCTATCCCTGAAAAAACTAATACTTCTTCGAGTAGTTCGAGTGAAGTTCCACCTTCTACATTAAACCATTGTGAAAATCAAGGCTATTTTTCGACATCGGCTGTTTTCCCAGACTCCGATGTTCATAACAGTCCTCCGACGTCAACTAACACTGAGACTGTTCCTGAAGATTTGTTATTAGAATCTGATACAGACAAAGAGGCAGAAGATGAAAAAAAGGTAAGAAAATTATGAAAATATCATCCTTAAAATTTCTAGTCAAGCAAAAATCTATACATGTTCGTCTTTATTGCAGGAAATGAAACTGATTAAAAATAGATTATGGGACAAAAACGTCTTACCAGCCTCATGATTCTGAGCACAGAAATTGACATTGTTCATGATATATCTTTCGAAGTGTTCGCTTCGATTAAATCTCGTAAAACTTCTGAATTCTAACCACACATACAATTCTGATGATTGTCATTAACGATATTCATATTACAAACAATGTTTTTTTAATGGATTATTTTGAACATAATAAAAATAATCAAATTAAAAATATAATAACTCTGAATACATTTTTGTGCAACCAACTTTTTACCTTCATTGTTAGGGGCCCCCACCATCAACTGGCCTCAGGGCCTCACTAACCTTAATCCGGCCCTAATTTTTTTTTAAATTCATTATTTTATACCTAGGTACTCTCTAAAAATTAAACAGTGGATTTTCACTGATTGACGGTGCATATTAACTATTTGCCGCAGTGATAAGTATACCACTAGCAATTAGTGAATATTCACTTTTTCATATAGCGATTTCTTTGCACTAATTTACTATACAAATTAGTGAAATAGGTTTAGTTCAAAAAAGTTAAAATTTCACTATTTTATGTCGAGAGTTCCGGAAAAGTAGTGATAATAAAAAACACTAATTTGGAGAAGTTAAAATTTCACTAATTTATATTGAAAAACACTAATTTTACAGTGAATAATAACTCACTGACGGAAATAGTGAAAATTTCACTGTTTCACTTTTAGAGAGTACTTACTTCATAATTTACTTGATTTTTAGTTTGGAATTATACATTTTAAATTAAATTAGTTTCAATGACAAATTTTAGAAAATGTATAATTCCAAATATTTTCAATGTTTTATTTATTATAATTTTAATTATTGGATATTAGTTATTTTTAATTGTTACCTTAATTTTAAATTTATTATATTTATTAATATTATACAGGGTGTTATGTAATTAACGTTATATATTAAAATGGGTTGTTCCTTAGGGTCCATAAAGAAGCACTTGAAACTTTTTTTTCTAAATTCCAAAGTTTAAATATAATTTATCCTACCAAAAAGTACGTCACTGATCGACTAGGAACTTTAGGCTAATCTGGTTGCCTAATTTAATTTATTATGTTATGGTTGGTAACAACAGTGTTTCCAAAATCTGTCAAAAAAGTTAACAAACATTGTTTAAATTTAGCTTAATTACAAAAATGACAAAATTAACAATGCAAATTGTCAATTTGGCGTTTTTATTAATTGTTGGTTATATCATTTTTGTACTGAAGGTAAATTCAAACAAAATCTGACAACTTTTATGACAGAATCTAGTGCATTTCCATCAAATTTTAGGTTATGTGCTCAAATTGTAAATATCTTAACTAAGGGAAGTGCTTTTGGATTTATTTACACAAATTAAATGTTTAAAGTTTAACCTGTGAATTGGTCCCAATTTCATCTGAGTAAACAGAGAGGAAAAACTGATGAAAAAATTAATTTTGTGGTTATGGATTTTTTAAAATAGGTACCAAATTTTCTAATCATTGCTTAAGCTAATGGCTGGATGAGTAAATAAATACAGAAGGGTATTAGAGCTTTAAGGGCATAAAACTTTTTTATTTATTGAGTTTTTATTTATTATTTGCAAGAAACATTTTTAGTAACAATTTTTTACATCTGGCAACGCGCAGCTACTTTGTTGGTTGGTATCTATGTCCTTACAGAACACAAGTGTAAAGAGATAAATAAGGCCCGGATTTTAGGTAAAACACCTTTTGTTGGTTTTTTAGGTTTTAAAGATATTTTTTTGTATTTGCCCGTTTTATAAAAAATGGAGTCATCTGACTAAGTTTTATTTGACCTAAAATACCTTTTTTATATTTTTTTCACCTATTTTCCTTTTTTGCACCTAAATTGTATTTTTAATACCTAAAATGAACCTTTTTTACCCGTCCTGTGACGTTGAGCGATCATTCTCTTGGTTTAAAAATGTTTTGACTGATAAACGCACTAGCTTTACTTCTGAAAACTTGGAGAAATATTTTGTCTGTCATGCATATAATCGTTAAATAAATTAATAAATGTTTTTTTTTTTTGATTTTAGAGTTCCTATTTTGTTTTTTTTTTGTAATTTTAGAGTTCCTATTATGTTTTTTTTTTTGCAATTTTACATTATTTGTAATATGATATATTTACTTTTTTAAAGAATCTTTTATTTTATTTGTTATTTTTCCAACCAAACATTTTTGTTCAGTTAATGTTAATAATAAATATTATTTTAATAACTATTTCATTTTTAATTTAAATCCTTTATTGCCGGACATTAACAGAGCAATTATAATGTAACTAAAACTACATAAGACCTATGTATGGTTTTACAACGATATCGACATTATAATGAAAACATTTTATTTCAATAAATCAGCTTATTTTTTTTTGTACCCAAAATGTAGGCACCTAAAATAATAACCTAATTTTATAACTATGTGACCTATTTTTTTCATTTTTTTTACTTTTTTATAACCTAAAAATACGGGTCAACCAATATTAACTTTTTAATTAAGTACCTAAAATATAGGTACCTAAAATAATAACCTATTTTATTAAAAATATCACCTAATTTAGGAACCTTTTATCACTTTTTTATGACCTAAAAATCCGGGCCTTAGAGATAAACCAAGTGTGTAACCAGTGGCGTATCACAAAAAATATAAAAAACTTCTAATGCATATTTTTTCTTTATCTTTGGAAAAATATTTTTTTAAATATTTTTCCTTTACTCCTTATGTCAAAAGGTATTCAGTATTTTAATGTATAACATTAATTACATAACACCCTATATTTTTAAATATTGGATTTATGGTTCCACCATGTATAACTTACCTAAAATCACGTTATAATAAAACGAAACATAAAACGCTACCAATACGGCACAAAAACCAACTCCTGAAAACAAAATTAAAATGTTAATGTTAATCAAGAAAAATAAATAAACAAATCTTAAAAAGGATTGTTGCACCAAAAAATCCTAACCATGGTAGCAATCTTTATGCATACGGTCATAAATAAAAAGAATTGAAAAAAATCACAATAGAAAAGTAAAATTTATAACCAATAAATAAATATTTCGATTACTCCGACGAATCCTCGCAAATCCGTTCTTACCTTTGAACAAAGGACAAATCCTCCACAGGCTGATGGGTCCCTGTCTATTGAACTGGCCCAAGATCAGCTCCATGTAGAACAATGGCACCGCCCCGAATACCAACATTAAAGTGTACGGTATTAAAAAGGCACCTATAAAACAGTCAGAGGGTAAATTAAACAATTAAGCGCCACGCAGTCTGTGCCGACCATAAAAATATGCATTAGTCAAAATTTGTAAAGTGAGCATGGGATTTTCACCATGGTAATAAAAATCGATAAAAACTTATAATATTCCACAAATATTGAATTGAAAATGCAATCCTTTTTATGCGGCCTGAAGCCTAGCCATTTTTAGACAAAAAATGCCCACTTGGCCACATAATGTAAAACGCTTTTTCTTATACGGTATTTTAAGATAAAGAAGATCAATATTTTTTCTGTAATATGACGAGATTTTTATTGCTCATGGAGCGGCCAAGTATAGTGGAGTCTTTCCAACTTTGAATGTCAGTCAGTGTTGCCAGATGTGGTACATTTGTACCTTTTTGGTACATTTGGTGCTTTGGTGGTACAGAAGTACTACAAGGACTATTTTGGTACATTTTCATGAAATTTTTAAATTTTGATTTATTTTCAATTTTTTGCCTATTTTTAATAAAGTTTCTCTTAATTTAATGTCATTTCCTAGTATTCCGCTTTCAGTGTTTATTCTATATTTAATTTTGGGGGATATACGTTTTTGTTTATTGCATTTAAATAAGAGGTACGTTTTAGGGAAATTTGGTACATTTAAAAGTCGAATTTGGTAATTAATTTTTCCTACTACTGCAGGCATGGCAACACTGATGAGAGTCTAAAACTTCTCGAATTAAATATACACGGCGTTAGACGATACGTTTTGTAAGAAATGGTGAGGATTTTCATTCACGAGTAGGCAAAAACCCGCAAAAAGTTATTTGTTAATCTTGTGTTAGTATAAAATTCCTGGAACTTACAACTTGCTGCATTGGCATTTGAAAACGCAAATTTATAGAATTTAAAACCGACTCAAATCTGGGACCTGAAATTAAATATTTGACGCGAAAAGGGAGGTAGAGTCCAAAAAATGATTTTTGAGATTATCATTTTTTTTAAGTAGAGGGGTAAACGATCTTCCAAAAAGTTCAGATGGAATTGACGTGGCTATTAATTCCAGGCCAAATGAAAAGATAGAAGTTGAAAATAAAAAATTTTCGCGAAAATCGAAGAAGACACATTTTTAAAAACACGATTTAAACTTTAAAACTCAAAAATCTTGACTTAAAACGCTTCAAATGTTTTCAATATTTTTTTCGAAAAGTACATTTAAAAACGAAAACTTTATATAGAATGAACATTTTGATTTGAACCATTTTTTAAGAAGTTATGAGCGAAAAGCAAAAAAAAGCAGTTTTATTGAAATTTTTATATTTTTTGAACCTGTGATCAAAAAAATATCAAAATTTACTGCGAATATAAAAAATTGGAGAAATAAAAAAAAACATCCGATTTGCCGTGGAATGCCCACAATACACAAACGCCTATGCCGCGCGAACTTTAATCTCTCATGTTTTGATTTTTGGATCCAAAAATAGTCTTTTTGGTTAAGAGCTATTTGTAGATATGTCTGTGTTGCTGAAAATATGTGCATGCATTTTGCAGATATGTTTGTATTGCTAAAAATATGTTGATCTATTTTTTAATTATTTTGTTGATTGTTTCGACCTTTACTTGATGAAACTCCATATTATTAATATATGAATGAAAACAACACTGTTTTAAAGTTTCACTAATTTATTTATGTTTTTAATAATTAACAATTGTTTCGCTACACTGTAGCTTCTTCAGAATTAGAATTCTGAAGAAGCTACAGTGTAGCGAAACAATTGTTAATTATTAAAAACATAAATAAATTAGTGAAACTTTAAAACAGTGTTGTTTTCATTCATATCGTCGTTTATCTGACAAAGAGGCGTATCTCATTTTTAAACAAAACGGTGTGAATTGAATTACGCCAGTTTGTACGGCACACAAAATGCAAAAATATTAGTTACGCCGAAACTGTTTTATGCTAAAACTTTATTTGTACCTATTTATTATAGAGCTACGCCAGTTTGTGAGATTATAAAGTCGATTTTGGTGATCATTCTGGTATAACTCAAAAACGAATTTTTTTGAGTTACGCCTCTTTGTCAGATAAACGACGATATATTTTTAATTATTCATTTTTTTATTGTTGATTATGAATATGAGGAATTACGACTGGTCCCATCGGCAATGCCTTACGCTGATTTCCGAGGGTTATTTTACCCCCTTTCAGTTCTCCTACGTATCCCGCTCTGCACATCATTGCATGTGTTTGGTGTATCCGATTTTTCACCCCGGCTGGTAAATCTCTCCTAGGAGGTCGTGAATGACAGTGTCGATGGTTAAGGCTACTCCAGGAATTTTGTCCCCGGGCCGGGCCATACGCCCGATTTAGTAATTACCTTATTTATGAGTTTTTTGGCTATGCTTGCTGTTCTTATGGAAACTGTTGGCGACTAATTAATTTTTACATGGTGAGTTGAGGTTGCGAATTTTGGATTAAAATTTGGTATTTGAGTATTATTAAGGTCATTAAATTTTGGTAGGTTTATGTAGACTTAATCCAGGAGGAGGTGCCACAATTTGCACCCTTTTTGTACTTGGTTCTGGTAGATTACGTGTAGAATCATTAATTGATTTTATGAATTTGAACAGCGATAGTGGTGGTAGCACTATGGAAGCACGAACGCGTTAAACGAGACCCTAGATCCACTACCGTTTGCCTTTAGGTGAGGAGGGTCACTTATTTATTCTTTTATTGTTGACAACTTTAACTTTACTAGTCTATGGTAACAAAATTACTGTCACAACTTACAGGCAACTTACTTATGACACTGTTGATGAAAATTATAATAGGGATTATTCAAATTGAAGACAGACAAGTCTCCATCTTGGGATTAATTTCAAAAATATTTTTACACTTATTGCACTAAAAACCCTAAAATTTAGTTTTTTTGACTTATGACACTGTTGTCGCCCATGTGCGATATTATTACTATATTATATATAAGAGCCATTCCACGCGTAACGGATACTACAGTTGCCGTGTTTTTATTTAGAAAATAATATTGTTCTATTATATTACCAATGTTAAATTTTTATAAATAGTTCTAAACTAAAGCTGTTTAACAAGGTTTTTATTTGGCAAAATTAGGTATCGTGGTTGACTCTTTAATTCCTTAAAAACTAATAATTTAAAGCGTAACGGTCGGGACTTTGCAATAGTCCTGCCCGTTACGCTTTAAATTATTAATTTTTAAGGAATTAAACAGTCAATCACGATACCTAATTTTGTTAAAAAAGTTGTAAATTGATCATCGAAGAATAAAATATTAAGTTAAATTATATAGTAAATTCAAAAGGAAACGACGTACACGCTGATCGGGCACGGTTGTCAATGTGGTGCTAAAATCATTGCATCAAGTGAAAGTGGTAGTGCAACTACAGGGCGATAGATGGCGTTTACATAAATAATACCAAAATGTCAAAAGTCAGAGTTATTATAACCTATATGATGCACCGCCAAAAGTATGTTTCAGCCATTTTTAAAGACATTTTTAGCTATAAAACTCAGAAATGTTGCCATCTAAAGTCAGTCTCTGGTATATATATTCTTATTTTATGTATCCAACATATATTCTGTTAAATATTCTAATATATAATTAATAATAATCCTATTTACCTCTCTAACAGCTGTTAAAGGTAACAAAGGTCCATTATTATCCCGTTCTGCCTCAAAATAGCGTATTAAGGATGACACCAACTCTTGACTTCGGCATTTTAAATATAGGAAACACAAAAAAACGATATATAACAAACACAAAAACGGCAATGAAACCTTAAACGATATAAAATAACACAAACAACAAACAAAATAGACGAAATAATACACGAATTAAACGAAATATTCGAAAACACAACTGACAGCTTCGAAATTCTAAAACGTCAAATTCTTTTTTATGTGTCATTTAAATATGAAAAATTTGAATGTAAACATGACAACATCGCAATTGTTGCCAACTGAAGATGTTTAAAATGCATTCAAATATTCAATTACAGACTTCGATTTAGTCATTTAGTGTTGGTACCAATGCGTAAAATTTTTGTTTTATTGATGACGTGTACGTAGTTTACTTTTAAATTTACTTTACATGAGTTTTATAATGAAAATATTGTCAAGGCGTCATGACGGGTCATTCTAATTTCAATATGGCGGATTAAACTAACAAACTAACTAACTAAATTTAAGACCAAAAAGTATAAAATTAAATATATATATTTAATTTTATACTTTTTGGTCTTAAAACTATAGTTTAAAAAAAAATAAAAAGCCCGCTTTAACTAAAACTAAAAAGTGTAAATATGTGCTATTATAAAACTTATTATTATTACCTCCCCCGTTCCGGTAGCAAAGATAGGGAAACCGCCACACGTTCGCCAAATTTAAATTTACTATACATGATTTTTATAATGAAAATATTGTCAAGGCGTCATGACGGGTCATTCTAATTTCAATATGGCGGATTAAACTAACAAACTAACTAACTAAATTTAAGACCAAAAAGTATAAAATTAAATATATATATTTAATTTTATACTTTTTGGTCTTAAAACTATAGTTTAAAAAAAAAATAAAAAGCCCGCTTTAACTAAAACTAAAAAGTGTAAATATGTGCTATTATAAAACTTATTATTATTACCTCCCCCGTTCCGGTAGCAAAGATAGGGAAACCGCCACACGTTCGCCAAATCGACAGCGAACCCGATTATCGAAAGTAAAAAATCGGTGTTCGAGCTCCATGTTTCGCGCTGGTCGTAGGCGGTTTCCGGGAAATCGTCCGGTATTATTTCTCCAGGTTGCGACGAGCTCGTCGATAGCACGAAGGATTCTTGCTCGTCTTCTTCGAGTTGAACGTGGAGGTCCTCTGGAAATAAGAAAGGAAGAGGTGAAGTAAATGATAAAAATGTAAATAAATTTAAAATCGTAAAATATTTTTTCTAATAAAACCTATAAAGTACCTATCTAAAACTATATAAAAATAAAAAATAAAATACTTACTTTTTTTTAACGTACATGTTAAAACTAAATTCGTGGAAGGATTTGAATATCTGGCTTTTCCTCTACCTAAAAATAAACATCAATGTTAAAAAAATCAATGGAAGTTATGTTATGTTAATCATCAAAAATAATCAGTAAATAAATTTATAGTTTTTAAAATGTCTAATATTTGAAAAAATGTGCAATAACTATGAAAATGTTATAATACGTGGAAAATAATAAATAATAATTATTATAATTATTATAATTATTGTAAAGTAGTGGTAGAACCAGAGGATTTAGAATGTTTTTTCAAAAATATTACAAATCTATGTCTAAATATTGACAAGTTTTATTATTTTAATATTTTAAGATTTTATCTTCTAAAATTTAAAAGATAAAATATTAAAATTTGATATGCTCTTATATTTAAAGAATACAATATTAAAGGTTTTTATGTTTTTTTTATATTATAATATATATACCGAGTTATAAGCGAACATTTCTCTCGTTCATCGCTGGTTGACCAAAAAAAAAAATTACTTAATTTTTCACGCGGTCTGCATGAACAGAAAATTCAAAAAATGTTTTCGAGTCCTTTTACTTCGGTCTACAAGGTTATTCAAAATAATATGATTTTTCATTTCTTATTTTCATATATTTTTGTACAAATGTTTTGGTTTTTTATATACTGCGCACCACTCAATGTGTCGCGACCAAAAAGTTCGTTCTTTTTCAAAACGACATAACTTTTTTGTTTCTTAAACTATTTTATTTTGGTCTGTGTTTTCTGCTAGCCTCATCCTTTGGCAATTCATGCTATAGATATGAAGCTCACGGTTCTTCAAGTAAATTTCCTACAGGGTGATATGTTAAACGGTAAAAAATTTTAATAACTTCATCCAAGCCCCGTTTGTAACAAAATAATTTTTCATTTTTCAAATTTATCGAATTGGAATCTTAGCAATGAAAATATGACTTTTTTTTCAAAAGAGTTTTTTGTAGGCAATACACTCAGTTTTTTTAGGAACAAGAAGATTAGGTGGTGAAATAATGTTCCTTAAATAAGCGACAAGCAACAAACTTCCATTATTTTCAGAGGGCCTAAGCAAAGACCACTTTTTCAAAATAACATTTTGGTGAAAATTTGAGAAAACTAAACCTAAACCAATATTTACGTTCGTGACATGTTTTATTTATAATTTTGACCTCCTGATTGTGATTCAGTTATCAAATTTAAGTTTCAGATAAAACCAAAATCACCAAGAATCAAGATTCGAAAACAATTTTCGGCTGTTAAATGTCTCAATAAAATACGATTGCTGGTTTTACTATTTTTTACTGTGTTTTGCATCTTTAGTACGATATTATCATGTCGCTGAATAATCAAATCAAGGATCAAATGAAAATTAGTTCTTGAAAAACATTTAAAACGCATTATGAGGTTGAGGAGTGACTGTTTGGGGTGAAATGGCGATGAATGGAAATAGTGAATGCTGAGAGATATAGAGATTTGGTTGTTAGTGATATCGTAGTCCCTTATGCTCAAAATGTTGCCAATAATTGGTGTTGGTGGACGACAATGCCCGTCCGCACCGCGCCAATATCGTAAATGAGTATTTAAGGGACCACCTTATTGGCCACCTTTGTCTCCAGATATGAATCCTATTGAGCATGTATGGAGCATGATGAAAGTGAAGATGAAAGAGAGGGAAAGACGCATGAAAAATTTGGATGAATTTGCAAATGCTATTCAGGAAGAATGGGATACCCCAGGAATTTATAAAGAACTTGGTTGAGGTCCAGGAGGGTTAACGAATTTGTACGGGTTAGGGGAGGGCCAACGAAATATTAAAAGTTATTTTTCTTATTGTTTGTTAAATTTTTTCGCATAAAAACATTTTTTTATTTAACTTTATTACCAATTAGGTAGGTACTTATCAGTGATAAGTTATCACTAGTGCGCGATGTAAATGTAACTTATGTAACATTATCCTAACCACTTAAACAAATTGCAGTAATTTTGCCTAAAAAATGAATCCCCAAATGGCATTTTAATCATAAATATGCAAGGAACACGCCAGCAATCGGATTTTATTAAGACATTTAACAGCCGGGAGTTGTTTTCGAATTTTGATTCTTGGTGATTTTGGTTTTATCTGAAACTTAAATTTGACAATTGAATCACAATCAGGAGGTGAAAATTATAAAAAAAACATGTCACGAACGTAAATATCGGTTTAGCTTTAGTTTTCGCAAATTTTCATTAAAATGTCATTTTGAAAAGGTGGTCTTTGCTTAGGCCCCTCTGAAAATAATGGAAGTTTGTTGCTTGTCGCTTGTTCAGAATTATTCAAGGAAAAATCTTTCACCATTTTATCTTCTTGTTCTTAAAAAGACTGATTGTATTGCCTACCAAAAACCCTTAAATGTACTCTTTTGGAAAAAAAATCATATTTTCGTTCCTAAGATTCCAATTCGAAAAATTTGAAAATATTTTTAAGGTAAGACATAATACTTCATTATTTCAAAGTAAAAACGGGGCTTGGATGAAGATATTGAAATTTTTCACCGTTTTACATATCACCCTGTACGAAATTTACTTGAAGAACCGTGAGCTTCATATCTATAGCATGAATTGCCAAAGGATGAGGCTAGCAGAAAACACAGACCAAAATAAAATCGTTTAAGAAACAAAAAAGTTATGTCGTTTTGAAAAAGGACGAACTTTTTGGTCGCGACACATTGAATGGTGCGCAGTTTATTTAAAAAAAAATCAGGATTTATTTGTTGTTATATAGTTTTGGACTTTATAAGTAGCTTTAATAGGGTTTTAATGGTTTAGGAAATTTGGATTTTAAAGATAGATTTAGAATTTTTTTTTAATAACACTTTAGGGAAAAAAATCAATTTGTCTGGACGCACACATCAGTTCCAAATTAAAAAAAAAACAAATTCTGGCAAAATTAATAATTAATCAATTATTGATCAAAAGGAACAGGTGTCCGTGAAGGTTTTTTATAGATAATTTAGCTAATTGAGGATAGTATATTAATTAAAATAAAAAGCATAGGAATGTTGGCACAATAGGTGAAATATATTGTTTTACAAATTATAATATACCAGTGGTCCCCGGATCGGATTTCCGATAGGAAAAACTTTTTTAGACCTGATACAGCTAAACCGAGCACGAATTTGAAATCTACGACCAAAAATTATGTTTTTCTACTACCATACCAGAAAACTTAATTTTCCACCCCCGAGCGGGAGAGGAAAATGCCTCTTTTCCTCCCCGGAAAGAAAAATGCTTTCCGCCATCTTTTTTTTAACAATTTTACATTTGCAAGAGTTTTTGTACCTTGTCTAGCCCTATTTGATTTTGTAGGAAAAAGAGTTACTCCGCGCTTGTCCAACCATTCTTTTAACAAACTATATTCATTTTCATAGCGCTCTTTCGATTTTTAAGGAAGGAAATTAATTGCAACTATTCTTGCCTTTTTAGCAAGATATTGCGGCAGTTCTTCTTCGCTAGAACTCATTTTCAAAACGTAGGAAGAATTTCAAATTTATGATAAACTCTCTGACAGCTTATAAAAACTGTTATGTTTGTATTACCAAAAATACCATAGCAACAAAGCGTTGTCACCATAAGGTTGGCGACGCAACACCAACTTAATTTTTTGTCATAATTTTATAGCCCCATACCGGGTTAGTAAAAGGAACCGGAACGCTTAAAATGTCTTAAACCCGTTAAAAGGTAATACAAAAAACTATATACATACCTTAGGAGGAAAATGCGTTTCCTACCTTGAAAATTTAATGCCCTTCGCTTCGCGTCGGGCATCAAACTATTCGCGGGAGGAAAAGCACTACTTTCCTCCCATGGTATGTAAATAGCTATTTCTTACTACCTCGACTGAAAATACGTTGTTTCGTCCCCGATTCCACGGCAGAAAGTTTACGTTTCTTGCATTGGTCAAGCTATACGCGCACACTCTATAATAGCGGGAGTAAAAATTTTTTAGTCGTGTGCTCAACATATGCAACTCTGATTACGACACTAATATAACCTCAAAATTTGGGCAGGCATCAATATGTTTCGATATACACATTTAATTTTTTCCCGTATTTTCGGCCGGGTTGTATTTTCGGCCGAGGTAGTAAGAAAAATAGTATACACTACACGGGCAGAAAGTGTGAGTGCCCTGAACTGCGCGCCATGATGCCCTCGGCTTCGCCTCGGGCATCAAGGCGCGCAGTGCAGGAATCTCACACTTTCTGCCCTTGTAGTGTAATATACTATTACGTGTCCGAGCGTTTAGCTGTGATATTTCAAGAGTTAAAAATTTACCTACAGTGTAATTAATTAATAATTTAATTGGGAGAAAATGAGGTTGGATCTGTCTAAAAATGAATAGAATCTATATCTGATATTAAACACAGAGATGTCGCCACCAGTCTTTATTCCGTCATCCGGTGATAGAATATTTCATTCTATAAGACTTTAAGGTATATATGTCATTCCACATTAAAAAGTGATATTGAAACGGTCAAATTCCGTAATAGTTATAAGAGAGATTAAAAAAATAATTTTGGGTAATTTTTTAAGATATAGTTTAAGAACAGACGGGTTAAAAATATAGATTTAAGACATATTTAGAGAGTTTTTAAAATATGTTTATTTAGAATTGGAACATTTTAAAGACTTTAAGATAATACTTTTTACGAAAAACTCAAAAAGCTAAAAATAGACCAAATCTTATATTATTAAAAAAAAAGTTAAGGTACAACAATAAAGAAATCAACCTGTATAATATTGGAAAAAAATCACAACAATCACTACCAACGTATTCTCTCCTAGGCTGTAAAAATAATATAGACCACTTAAGTAAAGTTTTTTACATTATAGTCTGTAAAAAACCTGCTGACATTTCTGAAGCTATCTAACCTAACTTTATACTTTGAATAATTGTTAGTATGTTTTATGTATCTTTTAACAAATAAAACTGTGACTTAAAGATAAAATATTTTATGCTATTCGGCTAAGACGTGTCTTTTTGTGGTTCGCTCAATTGTAGGCCTCTGCT